CCTTCTCCTCCTCCTCCTCCTCCTCCCTCCTCCTCCCGCCCTCCCTCCCTCCTCCTCCTCCTCCCCTCCTCCTCCTCCTCCTCCTCCTCCTCCTCCTCCTCCTCCTCCTCCTCCTCCTCCTCCTCCTCCTCCTCCCCTCCTCCTAGGCGTTTTAGCACCGCGGGCCAGGGGCGGCCCGTTTCCGCGAAACGCCAGCCTCCTGCCCTCTCCAGGGCGGAGGTGCCACGGCGGGCGCGCGGCGCGCGCGATCCCCCTCGCCTGCGTGGCACAGGCGAGCCAGGCGCCGGCGCAGCAGTGCGAGGCGCCTCCTGCGGCTGGACGCCACGTGGCGCTGCCTCCAGGAGCATCACGGCGACATGCCGCCCAGGCGCCGTGCCGAAGCGGTCGCTAAATGGCTCTGTAGGTTCTGCAAGCAGAAGGCGGCTGGAAAGGATTAATTGGTGGAATGGGGCAGCCATGGCGAGTTGCGGCATGTGCGGCAGGGCCAAAGGCATCTGCTACAAAGCTGACGTTCCGCCACCAGAGCCCTCGGTCCAGAAGCCGCGTGGTGGAGCGGTTGGAAAGGACTATCCGCCGTGGGTCTTTGAGAAGAAGGCAAAGCTTGCCCAGTACGATAAGGAACTCAAGCAGTTGCGGGCGGAGCTCCATCAGCAGAATGGCTTCATCTCAGCTGGCAACGGCTCACGACGGCGACGGTGACACGGCGATGTCAAGCGAGGATGCGGCCTCCGACGGCCAGATGCGCCAGCAGCTCAAGTCGCTCGATCACCAGATCCAGACGGCTACGAATGAGCTCACGCGCTGTGGCGAGTTGGCCGTGTGGTCCACGCTGCTGGACCAGCTGCGGGCTGAGCGCTCCTCCGTCCAGGCCAAGCTGCTCGCCGCCACGCCCCACGGTGTGCGCATGCAAGTGCGCACGGCCAAGGTTCAGCGCCAGGAGGCCGACATTGCAAAGCAGGAGGCCGCGCTGCGGGTCCAGGCTGAGCAGATCGAGAAGCTCGTGGCGGCCAAGCGTGACGCCGAACAGGGCCTGGAGCAGCAGCGCCTGGAGCTCGTCCGGTTCGACGCGGAGCTTCACCAGCTGTGCGCTGCCCAGGTGCCCCTTGCCCTGCCCCGTGCCCTGCCCTGCCCCGCACGCGGACAAGCCGGGCGCGATCCTGCAGGGCCTCGGGCTCCAGCTGGACAAGGCCACGCAGGTCGCTCCGCAGCTGGCTGCACAGCTCGGCCACTGCACGATGCAGCACATGGCCCAGGCGGTGCCAGCGCCCATGGGCGGTGCATGCGGCGGCGGCGCCCGCAGGACCCACTGGTGGGATCGGGCTCGTGGCGTCTGTGCCTGGAGGCGGCCCTGCCTCGCCTGGAGGTGCTCCGGGCACGCCTGGAGGTACCCGTGACAACGAGCAGAAGCCGGGGCCCGCGTTCGACGATCTGGCCGCGGAGCAGCTCGACGAGTGTTTGGTCAGCGCCCTGCCTGAAGGTGCAGCTATTCTCATTGATCTGGCTCTTAAGCGGGAACAGGCCCGCCGCTGCATGTAGGCCTCTGTCGAGATGTTCAACTGGGCTCTTCCGTACTGAGAATCGTGAACCGTCCTGTTTGTATTGTGCCATGTCTGTCAACATGACGATGCTCACCTGTCTATGGGGCAGCGCCAGTGCGTTATCATCGTCTTCTACGGCGACGGCAGCTGCGTCGCAGAGGCCTCCGCTGACGGTAACACCATCGGGGAGAGAACCACTGGTGGCGTGTACGTCTTCGTCGGCGGGTGTGTCCTCTTCCCGGGCTGGGTCATCCAGATCCCTGCCTAGGGCCCAAGCTCCCTGCCCTGAGAAGTCTGAGACTCCCGCGAGGTCCACCCGTCCCGGGGGAGCGCGCGCCGCCCTCCGATCCGATGGGGCCTTTGCTTGGGAATCGGCCCTCTTCGTGGATCAGTTCAACTGCTTCGGCTTCGGCTTCGGCTGCCGGTCCCTCCTCGACGTCTGGTTCTTCGGGCGTTAGAGCGCAGGTCCAGGGCCCTCGGGCGCCTGGCGCTGTCGTCGGTTTTCCGACGAGTATGCCCTTGGAGGCTCATGGAGGATCCCCCTTGACGCGGAGGAGGCGAGCGAGCGTGGCATTCCGCTGCCCAAGGGCCCAAGGGCTTCGTCGCTCCGGCGAACGGCGACAACGCAGGGCCGCTCAAGGGCTCCCTTCGAGGGCTCGTTCGTGGGCGTCGCGCGGCGGCAGCCCAGGGGCACCGCACCCTGGAGGCAGAGCTGCCCCAGCTACTGGCCAGGGTGGTGCGTCTGGCGGTGTGGCAGTATTGGCGTCCATGGATGCGATGATAATTATCCGTGCCCCCTGAACCCGCAGCTGGGTGGGCGGACGAGCTCCAGGGCGTCGTGGCCAAGGGCGGGATTGTGGCCAGCCATGTGCACGCTGGGCTGCCTGGCGTATTCGTCCTTCTGTCAGTGTACTTCATACGGCTGCTGGTATGGGCGCGGCCAACGCGCTGCTCCATGTCCTGGCCGCCTATGTCACGGAGCCCTCCTCGAAGGGTCTCGACCGGATTGCCGTGGGGGAGCGTGACTGCCGACGAGCTCGACGCGCGCTGGTCGGGGGCAGCCCGGGCGTTCATGGCGGCGCCGTCGGGGCCTGCCTGCGCGAAGTCGCTACTTGGACGCGTCCTCGATTGCGCAATGTGCTTAAGCAGCTTGATGTCCAGACTGCTAGCGCCCGCGGTAGACGAAGCGACGCCGCTGCCTGCGCGTGCTTCACCTGCTTTTGCTTGCCGAGGACAAGGTCCTCTGGAAGCGCGCGCCTGCCGAGCCGGCCGGCCTGCCTGACATAAGGCCAGAATGTCCCAGACCACCGCTCGCGCGGGCATGGGGGCCTTTCCAACGACAAATCCTGCGGGCGATGACCGACGAGGACTTGCAGGGCTGTTGGGATGGTGCGTTGAGGGGGCTCGAGGCCGAGCTGCTAGACCGCCGCGACATCGCGGGCGGGGCTGTGCGCCGACGATGCGAGGGCAGGGCTGGCGCGCCCAAGACCAAGTGGGCGAGGGCGTGCTGGCGACCGCCCGACAAGCGGTTCCGCCCCTCCATGGAGCTTTCGGCTTGTGTTTCGATTGCAAGCGGGGCGAACCATCTGCCCGTGGCTAAGTCCCACCTGGTCAAGCCCGTTAGCCTCGTGGCCAGAGACCCTTCCAGTCGCGCTGGCGGTGTGGTCAAGAATATTGCTGCCCTCGTCGCCTTGGCTAGCGCGTCGCGAAGGCCGGGGGCGCGTCTGGCAGCAGGTCCCCAGCGACGCGGTGGAGCTCGCCAGCTTGGGCCTGGAGCTTCTCGCCCGCCGGGCCTTCGAAAAGCGCGTGGCTAAATTGGTCGCGCGCCGCCGGGGCCTGCGAGCCTTCCATGATTGTGCTGTGGCGAAGCGCTGTAGGCAGTGGGTGGGCGACTCTTTCAGCGACGGCGCAAGCGGAGCACGCAGGGCCACCGAGCTGCAGCAGGTGACCTGATTTCCACGAGCCCACCACGCAGGTAGACTCCCACACATATGCTGGCCGGCAAGGCCATGGGCGAATGGGGGCAGATCTGGGCGCATCGCGAGGCGCCGCGGGCCCAGCTACCTGGTGACGCTGCCGAGGGGGGCGTGGGGGGGGGCCTTCACTTCTTGGCGACAGCAGGTCTGGCAGGCCATCCTCACCTTCAGTGCTCTTATGGCCGGAGCAAGCTTCGACCCAGGGCCCTGTGGAACGTCTCGGGCGAGGCCCTGCGCGCGCTGGTGTGTTGCTGTTCATGCAGCGCGAGGCTTTGCTATGCTGGCCATCCCAGCGGATCGTCAACGTCGTGGCATGGCGTCCCAATTCCGACGGATGCACCAGACTAATTGCTCTGGTGCCCACGCTTATCCGGGCATGGGCGAGGGCGAGAAGACCGCTATCGCGCCAGTGGGTCAGTCAGCACCCTCGGGAGTCCATCTTCGGGCTCACACGAAGTGCTTCTTCTGTCGACTCGGCCTGCAGCCCTAACGTCGCGGCCGTGATCGCGCGCCTCCTCGGCGAGGCCAGCATCTCTGTTGCGCTGGACCTCCACGAGGCTTTCGACTGTGCTCATTGGTCCCCTGTTGGCAGAAACACGTCGTTCGCATGTCCTATGCGCCTGGCGTCAAGGGTGTAAAAAAAAACAGCCCTACCCTGGTTTATGAGGCGCTGTGCGCTGAACCTCCCGTGGGCTGACAGGGTAAACCCTGTGTGTCGCTCGTGCCGCGCGGCGCCCTGGCTGCATTAAGGCCTGTGGGAGCTTCCGGGAGGTTTACTGACCGCGCGCATGTACCCCAGGGCAGGGGCGGTTTTTCATTCCTCATTGGTGTGGCAATGCTTATATATTTTTGTTTGGATGCCGAGGATGATCCGCGCATATGGCTGCCGGTCAAGCGCGGCGTGCGCCGGCCGGAGTATCCTGGCGGGGCGCGCCCGCAGCTCGGCGCTCCTCGCGACCTCGCTGCTTCGAGTTGCTGCGCGGCTGCGGGGCGTTGCGCTGGTCTTGGCCCCGGGTGGGCTCGCGGATGACCTCGCCATCCGCTGGGTCGGCGAGGGGATTGGGCAGGGCGCCGTTGCCCTGCACAGGCTCGCGAAGGTTTTCGCCGCTGACGTGGCGCTGGGATTGCGGCCCTCCAGAGGACGGCAGGACTCCGCATCCAGGCGCTCTGGAGGACTGGGCCGCTGCCGTCTGCGGCCCATGGCGCGGCCGCGTCGGGCACCGCGGGCGAGCGCGTCGCCGAGCTCTGGCACACTGCAGTGCTCTTGTGCAGCTGCCGTTGTGGAGTGGGCGCTGACTCCAGCACGCTGCGCCTCGCCACGCAGAAGGATCCCTACTTGGATCCCATCTTCGACGTCACGCTGGCACCGATTGTTCGATACTGCGCCGCGGTCTGGGATGGCAAACTGAAGTTAGCGAGGCTGCAGCGGGCGTGACAGGCCCTCGAGCAGGCATGATTGACCACCAAGCCCACGTGGCATGGAGTACGAGGGCCATTTGCAGCGATGCGGATGAGTCTGCTGAGCATCGACTGGACCACGCACTCCAGCCTCGTTTTGATCACCGACACGGGCGCCCTCTTCGAGCTGCTGCGGGTCCCCCTTTAAAGGAGGTGGTCCAGCTGGTGCGCGAGGGCATGCAGCGCTGGCAATGCCTGCACATCCTCAGTCATCATGGTGAGCTGGGTCCTCCACAAGCGCCGACGTTCTGGCACAGGGCGGTGAGGCGTATCTTGGCACCACCGCGAGCTTGCTTCAAGGAGCTCGTGCCGGTCAGCTTCGTAAGCTCTGGGCTGGGGCCTCCTGGGATGCGGTCAAGCGCCATGCCAAGGGCTACTTGGCCAGCCCCTGGTGCCCATATTACCTGGCCAGCAGAGGTGCACCAAGGGCCACCAATTCCACGAGTGCCCCAGGGTGCTCAACGTGGGCCAGCACCAGGGGGACACCATTGGGCCTCTCGACGATGAGCTACTTGCGCTTTGTAGCAACGGAGCTCGCCTTGCTTGCGCAGGAGATCCACAGCTGGGGCCCCGACCCGACCTCCTCGAGGGGGAAGTGCACGGACATCTGGAATCATATCTTCCAGGTCGCGCAGGGGCGTGCGAGGCCCCACGGCTGCTGGTGTTCTGCCCATCTTGACGTGCAGGATTATTTTGGCAGCGAAGGATGGCAGCCGTATGACTTCTATGGCAACATGTGGGCTGACTTTTTCGCCAAGGTCGGTGCGATGTCCCCCGGACTTCCCCCGGCGTTGCTCGAGTCAAGCTCAGCGACGCGCGCATGGTGGCCAAACTTCTGTTATGGATGATGACTGCAGTTGGTTCGTTATCGGAAGGATTCAAGGATCTAGTCCCCGTCATTCGCCGCACGAGCAGGCGCGATATCAATCGAGATGGGGCCCGCCGGATTTGCACGAACTGCACGGCGAGGGCCGCCTCTGAGGCAGCGGTCGCGAGGTTCCAGCGCTCATCTTGTGAGCCAGCCGCGCTTCAACGCCTCCTGTACCGCGCCAGACAGGCTCCCCTACTCCTCCTCCTCGGCTAGCGCCTCCCTCCCTCCCCTGTCCTTGGAGGCGATCGCCATCGCCCTCCGGGCCGCCGATCGCCATCCCACTGGGTGGGGCGAGGCTACGAAACCCTGGACTCCTGATGCGTCGCCCGTGGGGTCTGGGAAGGCCGCTGGGGGCCCCATCCCTGCCAGCAGCCAGTCTGGAGCGTCAGCGGACGAGGCGGTCCCCACGAGGACCGCCGACGCCATGTCTGGAACTAGCGGTAGTGTGTCTAGTCTGCCTGTCGCCCGTCAGCCTCCTCAGGGGCCCATTGTGTCTAGTACTACCCCTGAGGTTCCCTATGAGCTTGTGCGTGCCCACCACCCCGTCACCACGGGCCCTTTTGTTTGTTGTTTCAACTGGTGGGTCTGCGTCCACCAAGCAATCGCCAGTCTTCGTGGCCTCTTGTAATGGTCCCGTCACTCGGAGGACTAGCCGTCAGCGGTGCACGGCGTTGAAGAACCTGAAGGCAGGGTGTCACCCGCTAACGGGTATTCCCCTGAACGGTGACATACACCGCGGCTAGGGTTGCCGCCATTTGAATATCGTGGCTCCCTAGTTAGTTGTGGTTGGCTGGCGAGACCATTCGTCCTGCGTGTCCTCCTCCTCCTCTTCCTCCTCCTCCTCCTCCTTCTTCTCCTCCTCCTCCTCCTCCTCCTCATCCTTCTCCTCCTCCTCCTCCTTCTCCTCCTCCTCCTCCTCCTGCTCTTCCTTTTCCCTCTCCTCCTGCTGCTCCTCCTCCTCCTCCTCCTCCTCACCCTCCTCCTGCTCTTCCTCCGCCTCCTCCTGCTCCTCCTGTTCCTCCTCCGCCTCCTCCTCCTCCCTCTTATGGGTGATCTTGATCTGTCCTGCCTCCTGCCTCCGACCCCTCCTGCTCCCCCTGCCCTGCGCCGCAGGGCAATTGGGCTCGCGCGTGGCCCACGCTAGCCTTGCCCTCGTCGCCAGACCTGGGTGCGGCGCTGGGCGGTGCGGAGGCTTCTGCAGATGACGCAGGTGGTTGTTTAACGATGCGGATGCCAGCGAGTGTGTTGTTATCGTTGTTATTGTTGTTGATGTTGGTGCTGTTGTTGTTTATGTTGTTATGTTTGTTGTTATATGTGCTGTTGATGTTGTTGGTGTTGTTGGTGTTGTTGGTGTTGTTGTCGGTGGTGGTGTTGTGGTTTGTGGTGTTGTTGTCGGTGGTGGTGGTGGTGTTGCTGGTGCTGTCGCTGTTATTGCTGTTGCTGTTGTCGTCGTCGTTGTCGTTGTTATTGTTGCTGCTGCTGTCGCTGCTGTTGTTTCTGCTGCAGTTGTTGATCCCGATGGTGTTGTTGTGGTCGTGGTTGTTGTTGCGGTTGATGCTGTTGTGGTGTTTGTTGCTGTTGTTGGCGTTGCTGTTGTTGCTGTTGATGTTGATGTTCTGATTGGTGTCGGTGTTGTTGATGATGCTGTCGTTGGTGCTGTCGGTGTTGTTGATGTTGTTGTTGGTGTTGCTGCTGTTGTTGGTGGTGTTGGTGTTGGTGGGTGTGTTGTTGCTGCTGCTGTTGTTGTTTTTGTTATTGCTGCTGTTGCTGCTGCTGTTGTTGAAGGCGATGATGATGACGATGATGCTGATGTTGATGATGATACCGATGCTGATGCTGATGATGATGCTGTTTATGATGATGCTGCTGATGATGATGATGATGATGCTGATGATGATGATGATGATGATGATGCTGATGATGATGATGATGCTTATGATGCTGATGATGATGACGATGATGATGACGACGACGATGAATATTCTTATTCGTAAGGGCTTTGCCCCCTGCCGCCAGCCCCCTCTTTATCAGACCGGAATATACTAGAGTCGCGTCGGTGCGTCTCGGCGCTTACTTGCCGCATCTGGGAACATCATGCGGGGGCGGATAGGAATCGTCAGCGCATATTGAGACGTTGGTGTTATCCGAGTGGCCGTCGGCCCATCCCGCCACCGTGCCTGGGTCGTGGGGCTGAGGCCTCTCGTGTATATATGTGCAGGGGTGTCGTGGGGAGCCTCTCGGAGGTCCCTTGGAGGCGGTTTGGGCGCCGCTTTGGGGCATCTTGGGGCCTCGTAGGGTATTTTGGGGGCCTCTTGGGCACGTCTTAGGTGCCTCCTGGGGCCTCTTGGGGCCTCTTGACGGCCTCTTGGGGCCTTCCCGAGGCACAAATATCGAATGTTCGGTTCGTGGTCCCCTGCTTGGGCCCCTCTTGGGGCCGTCTTGGGACCCTCTGGGCCATCTTGGATGCCTCTTGGGCCGTCTTTGGGCCCTCTTGGAGGCATCTTGGGCTGTCTTGGGGCGGTCTTTGGAACTTCTTGAGCCGTCTTGGAGCGTCGGAAAGCTGACAATGCGAGAAGGCCAAAATTCTTCAACAACCTTCGTGACATCTACGATTTGAGCCTCTTGGGGCTCTCTCGGGAGGCCTCTTGGAGCGCTCTTGGGGCGTTTTTGTTGTCCTCTTGGGTCGTCTTCGAACCATCGTCGGGCGCCTTGGGGCACTCTTGGCCTCGGCAATACACATATGGCGTAGTTTGCGAGGGTCCATGGCTTCGGGGGCGCGGATATCGAGTAGTTTACTAGGGTTTGTTGCCTCGGGGACGCAACAATTGTATGATTCACGAGGGTTTGTAGCCTCGGGGACGCGAACATTGAGTACTTCAAGGGATTCTGGCCTCGGGGGCGCGACTCTCATGTATTTTCACGTGTTCCACGCCCCCCCCCCCTGGGAATTCAGAGCACGGGATTCGGGCGTGGTAAATTGCTGGTTCGGGGTTCTCCCCCCTCGCGCGGACTTCAACAATTCATAGTAGGATGCAGAAAGCACGACTGTAACACTGGAGACTTGAAACTGCAACTGGTGCAGGGAGCAGCAACTTCGCCCAACAGCCTGGTGGCCCCACAAGGGGGCTGGCGGATTATTATGATGACGGCGACGACGACGAGAATGATGATGATGATGATGATGATGATGATGATGATGATGATGATGATGATGATGATGATGATGATGATGCTGATGCTGATGCTGATGCTGATGATGCTGATGATGATGATGATGATGATGATGATGATGATGGTGATGGTGATGGTGATGGTGATGGTGATGGTGATGATGAGGAGGAGGAGGAGGCTGAGGCTGAGGCTGAGGCTGAGGCTGAGGCTGAGGCTGATGATGCTGCTGAAGATATGCTGATGATGATGATGATGATGTGCTGATGATGATGCTGATGGTGATTATGGCGATGATGATGGACGGTGCGGAGGCTCCTCCACAACCTGCCGCGGCAGCGGGGCTGGTGCGAAGCCCGTCTTGATTATCCTCCATGCGTGCTGATGGACGTGGAAGGCCGCGTCCTCGTCGTAGCACGCAGGAGGAGTGAGGTTGATTCCAATATCTACGCTGCAAGACTCGCTAGGCTGCCCCGACCCGCTAACATCCGAAAACGCTGAAAACGGTGACGACGACTCAGATCTCGACCTGATCTTCACTGAGCGCGTCGGACATCGCGACGTACGGGAGACCAAAATCCTCGTTGACGGTGCAACCGACGGGGACAAGGTTTTATCGTCGCAGTCTTGATACATGCGGCATTTGGGACCTCGGGGGGCGCGACTTAACGAGGCCCGGAACAACGTGGGAGACAAAGGGAACGTGACGAACTCGTTGTTTCGAGCCGGGGTTTGCGTTTCCGCCTGTATACCGTCGGTGTCCCAGTGGGCCTTGGAAACCGACCCCTGCCTCCAGATCCTCGAAGGCGTCGCCCTTGGGGGTCGTCGAGGCCAGCGAGCCGCTAAGGACATTCTCCCAACGACGGCTGAAGGTGTGACTCCCCAATCTCCCCAGCATCCGAGTCCGTACTCCGAGGAACCGCGCGATATCCACCAACCCGCTCCTTGAAACATTGGGGCCCGTTTGGTGCACCCGGAGAAATACATTCAGAAAATTGCCGCTGGCGAGCTCCAGAAAGCCTGACCCTGCAGCGCGCCTTCAGGAAAGGCGAGGTGGCGAAGGTGGAGAGGCTGTCCATCTCCCTCAAGAGGCGGCGGTGGAGGTGGCAGCAGCAGCGGAATCAGAAGCAGGGGCAGGTGCAGAGGCAGAATCACAACCAATTGCAGACGCAGAGGCAGAAGCGCCATGTCTGGCCTTAGCAGTTTCAGTGCAGTTCGGATGAGAGGGCGAAGAGGAGCAGCAGCAAGAACAGGTTGAAGATTATCATGGTGATGATGTCGACGGGTAAGACTGTAGTGGTGACGATGACCTCGATGATTGAATAACGATAAGGATACAGGTGATTCTGATTGTATTGTTGACGACGACGATGACGATCATGTTGATGATGATGATGATGATGCTAATGGTGATGATGATGATGATGGTGATGTTAGTAGTGATGGTGATGGTGGTGATGTCGATGGCGATGGCGATGGCGATGACGATGACGAGCGACGACGATGATGATGTTGATGATGACGATGATGCTGCTGATGCTGATGGTGATGATGGTAATGTTGATCACGATGGTGATGCTGATGATGATGATGATGCTGGTGATGGTATTGATGGTGGTGGTCATGATGATGCTGATGTGATGGTGATGATGCTGATGATGATGATGATAATGGTAGTGATGATGATGATGATGATGATGATGATGATGATGATGCTGATGCTGATGATGCTGATGATGATGATGATGATGATGATGATGATGATGATGGTGGTGGTGGTGGTGGTGGTGGTGGTGGTGGTGGTGGTGATGGTGATATTGATGGTGATGGTAATGGTGATGGTGATGGTGGTGGTGATGATGATGATGATGGCTGTGGTGATGACGATGACGATGATGATGGTGGTGGTTGTGGTGGTGATTGCAACGTTGATAACAGCAACGGTGATTTTGATTGTGATCATCGTATCGATGACGGTGACGGTGATGGTGATGAATGTGATGATGTTAACGATGGCGACGAGGACAGCGGCGACGATGGCGACGATAAGGTTGGGTAATGATTAGTGCGAGGATGAAGAGGCTAGCGATGGCGAGCCATGTTGGCCAGCTCAGGTGGCGGAGCCGGCATCGTGCGCGCCTGTAAGTCCCTGCGAGGGGCAAGCGGCTTCTGGGGGACCTGGAGGACCTGCCGCACTCGCCTGCGGGCATCAAGTCGAAGGACGGAGGGCAGTAAAAGTGTTCAAATGGATCTCTATTAGGAGGAGGAGGACGACGAGGAGGAGTGGGATCTAGGTTCGTGGATCGACGTGTTTTGGACGAGTTCGACCCCTCTCCCTCCCTGGGGCTCCAAGGAGCTCCACAACTGTCGAGGCCTCCGGGCCCCCAGGTATGATGACTCTGGAGGCCTGGCACCCAGGGTGGGGAGCTTGGGCAGCAGCAGTGTGCGATTGTATGTGGTAGTAGGTCGGGAGAACATTCTGGGGGCCATGGCCTCAATGAGGCAGAAGGGGGCCGGTCTTGTCGGCTGCAGCCGCGGCAAGGGACCGGTGCTCACGAGCGGCTTCCTCCTTCTTTTTCTCTTCCTTCTCCTCCTCCTCCCGAGGAGGAGGAGGAGGAGGAGTCCTCCTCCTCCTCCTTTTCCTCCTCCTCCTCCTCCTCCCGTGGCGCTGCTCGGCCTTGCGTGCGCCCTCCCGCCCAAGCCGGTGTGGGAAGTGGGTGCTAAAGCAAGTCGCGGAGCATAGCGAAGGCAGAGATCGAGCGGCCTCGACCCAGCTCTCGCCACCGCGCCGCTCCCGCGGCCAGTGCGAAGTCCCCCGTCCGGGCTTGAAGTTTTCAAAACCGGGAATCTTTTATCGATTGCATTTTATTCCAAGAGATCAAAAGCAATCGAGAGCACATTCCTGGCCGCAGAACCACTTGTTGTTCGATCACAAGCAGTCCGTGATTTCGGACTGAAGACAATGCGGAACGCCCCAGAAGCCCTCGGAGCTCGGCGCCTTGGGCCCTTCGACGAATGATCACAATACCCCATGCTTTGGGAGTTCAGTTGCTGCGGGGCCCGAGGGCACTCCACTCTGTGGGGCCTCAGGGCATTGCACTCAGTGCCTCGCGCCACGGCAGCGGAGTGGCTGCTTGAGAGCTGTGGCAATCGAGCTATACAGTTGCTTGCGGTGGCAGCTGTTCGAGGAGTGTATAGTGCTGGGGGAAGGAGGATGGGGGGAAGGAGGAGGAGGACGAGGAGGAGGAGGAGGACGAAGAGGAGCAGGAGGAAGAGGAGGAGGAGGAGGACCCCCTCCTCCTCCAACTTCTAGTGGTGGTGGTGGTGGTGGAAAACAGGCCCATCATATAGAACGCCGCAACGTGTGACACCTTGTGTCCCGATGCTCTGGAGAGCCGTACCAGGTGACATGCCCGTCTGCTTCGTGTGGGGATGGCTCTCTTCGTGTTCGTCGTCGTGGTCGTCCTCCCTTCATCCTCTTCTCTCCTCTCTTGTTTGAGGCCTCTTGCTTGGGCTTCAGGGAGTCCCAGCGGCATCTTGAGCGCGTCTTGGGGTGGGCCTCTCGGGGCCTCTCGGAGGCTCTTTGGGCCGTCCGAGGGCGCTCGTGGAGAGAGCTTGGCGCCTTCGGGTGTCCGCTTTGGGGTTTTTTAGGGGCCGTTTTGGGGGCCCGGAACGGTTGTCTTGGGAGCCTCCTCTTGCGCCGCTTGTGGGTCTCCTTCGGCTGGCCTGGGGCCGTCTCGTGGGCCTCTTGGGCCGTCTAGCCGTCTTGGGGGTTCTCGTGGGGGCCTCTCGGGCCATCTTGTGACTACAGTGAGTGGCTTGAATAAGGAACACTTACTTTTCAAAAGGGGCTCGGTCGTTCCTTAGGTTTGCATGTGTCAGTTATCGTTCCTTATGCGTTATTTCTTATGTATCGTTCCTTGTGCGTTGCTCCTTGAAAAAAGGGGCTCCGTTCCTTATGTATCGTTCCTTAGGTCAGGCCGATGACTGTATCTTGAACCGTCTTTGGCTGACGGAAGCCCGAACAGGCGACCACGCGAAAACCATTCAGACATCGAAGGAGCACACACGATGTAACTTCTTCGGGGTCTCCTAGAGGTCCTCTTGGAGCTTTCTCGGGTCGCTTTGGAGGCTTCCTGGTTGCATCGAAGCCACCTCTCGCAGTCCTGGGGGGCCCACACTGGGCCGTCTTTTGCAGCAACTTGGGCCATATTGGCGGCCTTAGTGGCCTGCCTGGGTCATTTTGGAAGTTACCTTCGGCGAGCCGCGCGTCGCGGTCGTGATATAGGCACGATCCGTTCGCGTCTTGTCGACGCGGCGGTGACCTCTGCCTTTGGCGTTCAAGGTTGAACGTTGAACGCCGAATGAAGAGGGCGACGGCGAGGAGGAGAAGGAGCAGGAGGAGGATGAACGTTGGTCGAGCCTCAAGCGAGCGCATGAGAGGCGTCGAAGTTTCCAGAGAGCCTCGGGAGGATGGTGGCGGTGGGGGGCGGTGCATGCAACCTGGCGTGAAGAGAGTTGGGAGGGGTGGGTCTTTGCACCAGTACCGAAGCATCACCAGGCAGTTTTTGGCATTGTATCACGCATCAGCATTTCAGGGAGCCCGTTGTAGGATTATGCGCGAACGGATGGACGTGTTTGTCTCGGTGGAAGTAATCACATACATGCTATCTGAAGCTACGCAGCAGCTACGCGAAATTACGTCTGCCGGACTTAGGTACAACACATGCGATGAGCCTAAGCAGCCAGAGCCAAGTAGCCACTGAACTCGACCTAAGGTGATGTTACTGTGATCCAACGTCCAGGGTAAGCAAGCAACATGTGCGCAACACTGATGCGTAGATTGCTTGCGCTTCAGCTTCATTTTGAGTGCCATGCTCTGCGTAAGTTCAGTCAATCACGCCAGGGCATGGGATGCAAGCAGGGATGCTATCCCGAGCGTGGATGAGGCAAGCGGGCGGAGCCATGCCGAGCATTCCAGACTCTGAGATAGGCCAGCAATGCTGAGCGCAGTCGGGGCAAGCCCTTCCCTCCCCTCTCCTCAGCTTTCTACTCGTTCCTTCGCCCTCCCTCCGCCGCCCTCCTTCCTCCTTCCTCCTCCGTGCCCCGCCCCCCTCCCCCCCCCCCCAGGACATCATGCCCACCTCGAATCCGACGCCGTGGGTGGAGGGGCATGGCGTCCTGGCGGCCGAGCGGCGAGCCCGCTGACCCCCTGCGCGGAGGGTGCCCAGGGAGGCCTCGGGTTGAGGAGGAGGGGGGAGGCAGGAGGAGGCAGGAGGAGGAGGAGGAGGAGGCAGGTGGAGGCAGGAGGAGGAGGAGGCAGGAGGAGGGAAGGAGGCAGGAGTAGGAGGGAGGAGGAGGAGGAGAAGGAGGAGGAGGAGGAGGACCAGTGCAAACTCAAGACCCAAGACGCATCAACGACGTAACAATAAACCTTCCCTCCAAGCTCCTCTTCGAAGGTCCCTGCGCGAAGTTATCTTTATTGAGGGAAGTGCCCCATTCGAAGACATGCGTCCGTGAATCTTCAATCGTACCGAAAGACAAATGCTGGAACTTGAGCGCCGTGAATCAACGTGACTGTTGCGTCCTGACGATCCCAACTCGTCCCAGGACAGCATTTCTGGGAATTCAGCACCGCGAATCAACGTGATTGTTGCGTCCTGAAAATCCCAAATCATGCCAGAACGCCATTCCTGGGATTTCAACCGTGCGAATCCTGGAAACGTTCGCAAACATTCGAGACGAATGCGCGCGGCGCTAAGGCGATAACCTCGTTTTGAAAATGAGCCGGTCTCCATCCGTGAAATTGTTGCACTCTTTGAAAAATGTTCGCGGCGCTGAGGCGAGAGCCACATTTTGAAACCGTCCCGTCCTCCATCTGTGAAGGTGATGCACACTTTAACAGGAATTTGCGCGGCGCTATGGCGATATCCAGATCTTAAAACGGCCCGCCCTCCATCCGTGAAACTGTTGCACAGTTCAAGATTCAAGATTCTGAATCGTTCGGAAGTGTCAGGCGAAACGCCGCGCCCACCGTATTGACGTCTGATGCCGCAACAAGAGGAGTTGTATGTAATGAAAAAGGGATGGAGGGAGGAGGAGGAGGACGAAGAGGAGAAGGAGGAGGAGGAAGAGGCGGAGGGAGGAGGATGAAAAGGATGGGTTAAGAGGACCAGTTTAAAACAAAGATGCGTCAACGATGTGGCAACACATTCTCGCTTCAAGCTCCCTCCTTATAGGTCACTGCAAGGATTTACTTACTTTGCGGGAAATGCTACATTGAAAGACAACCGTCTGATATTCGTACATCGTGCCAGAACACCATCCTTGGAACTTCGACGCCGCGTATCATTCGATTGTTGCGTCCTGACAATGTTGCGTCCTGACGCTCCAAAATCGTGCGAGGAACCGCCGTTGGGAGTTCAACACCGCGAATCAACGTGACTGTCGCGTCCTGGCAGACCTGGATGTATTGAATCGTTCCACAGCACCATACCTGGGACTTCAGCCCGGCGCACCCGTGAAACTGCTACAAACCTTGAAGACGAGCTTGCGTGGCGCTAAGGCAAGAGCCACATTTTTAGAAGAAACCGCCTTCAATCCTTGAGGTTGTTGCGCACATATCAAAACGAATGTGCACAGCGCGGCGCTATGGCGAGAGCCACATGTTTAAGACGGCCTGCTTTTCTCCTGGAAGAGTACAAACTTTTAACACGAATGTGCGGTGCGCTATGGCGGGAGCCACGTATTGGAAACGGCCCGCCCCCTAACCTTCAAAAATAGTGCACACTTTTCAAACGAATGCTTGCGACACCAATGCGATAACCACACATGTTGTAAACCACCCGCCCCCTATCCGTGAAAGTGTTGCACAAGTTCAAACTTCAGGATCATAAACTGTGAGGGGGTCTCGGGCGAAACACCATGATCGCTCTTCTGACATTTCTCGGGGTGCGGCAGGGAGAAGCTATTGTGAAGGCCTGACGGCCAGTGCTGTCGACCCTGAAGGCGGGACCTCCACCAGGACCCCCGCTGGCGCCACTCCTCGAGACCCGCTGGGACCACGAAGCGCGGTATCCTGATCCGGGACCACCACCCTCGACCACAGGCGGGACGTCCCCCAGAACCCCTGCTGGCGACCCCTCCGGAGGGGGTTGGTCCCCTTGTCCCCCAGTCCGCCAGGACCCGGGAGGAGGCAATCTGACCCGGGACCCCTCCCTACCCCCCCGTGCCCCCTCCGTACCCCCCCCCGTGCCGCCCCCCGTACCCCTCTTCCCCACGCAAGGGAGGGGAAGATGGGAAGGGAACCGATTTAATCATGACGTTTCTTTTCTTTGTTCGTTCCTTTTTCTCTTGGGACTGGCGACGACGACGTCGACGACGAGGAAGACGACGACAGTGTGTCACACACGCCGGATGGTCGGCGGTTGTATAAGGGAACGCGATGGAGGAGGCGGAGGAGGAGAATAATAGTAATAATAATGATAATAAGGCGGAGGATGATGATGAGAGGAGGAGGAGGAAGAGGAGGAGGAGGAAGAGGAGGAGGAGGAGGAGGAGGAGGAGGTAGAGGAGGAGGAGGAAGAGGAGGAAGTGGAGGAGGAAACGGAGGAGGAGGAGGAGGAGGAGGAGGACCAGTGTAAACCCAAGACCCATCAACGGTGTTGGAATAAATCGTCCCTCCAAGCTCCCTCTTCACTGGCAGCTACAAGGATTCCCCTCCACTGACGGACGTACCCCGTTGGAATGCAACCATGTGGGGATCATGGAGCGTGCCAAAACACCATTCTGAGGACTCCAACGCAGCGAATCAACTTGATTGTTGCGTCCTGGCGATATTGACTCGCACCAGAACGCCATTCCTGGGCACTTACACACCGCAAGTCACCGTAAGTGTTGCGCCCTGACAGTCCTGAGTCGTTGACCATGGGAATCCGTGAAATTCCTGCAAGTGTTTAAGATGAATTTGCGCGTCGCTGAGGCGAGAACCACATGCTGAACAGGAACCGCCCTCTATCCGCGAGACTCTTCTACAAATGCTTAAGACGAATGTGCGCAGCGCTGAGGCGAGAGCCACATGTTGAAAACCACCCGCCCTCAATCCGTGGAGCTCTTGCACATTTGAGAGACACATGTGCGCGGCACTAGGGCGTGAGCCACATTTTGAAAACCACCCGCCCTCCATCTGTGAAGCTGCTGACAATGCTCAAGCTTCAGGGTCACAAGTGGTGAGGAAATCTCAGGCGAAACGCCCAGCCCGACCTTTCGACCAGCCTCGGGGGGCGACAGGGAGGAGGGGGAGGAAAGGAATGGAGGAGGACGGGGAACAGAAGGAACATGAGGAGGAGGGAGGAGGAGGAGGAGGCGCAGGAGGAGGAGGAGGAGGAGGAGCAGGAGGAGGAGGAGGAGACGGATGAGGAGAGAAGAAAGGGGCGCGGAGGAGGAGCGTGGAGGTTGCACCGGAGGAGGCACGGCGAGGGGGGGGCAGAGGCGGAAGGAGACTCATCTCAGGCCCCCCCAGCTGGGAGCGCGCCCCCGGAGGGCAGCCCGTGGCGCAGCCAGCGAGACGGGCCCTCCTGGGAAGACTGGGAGGAGCGACGCCGCCCGCCCTGGACGCGGCGCTCCCCCCCCCCCACCCCCTCGCGGTTGGCCGCGCGGGTCGCGGGCGGTGTCCGCGGAGGCCCAGGGAGATGACAAGCTCGGATCCGGCGTGCTTGGGTGGACTTGAACTCCAGGCACACCAGACCCGAGCCATCGGCAGGCTCACTGGGGACTTTGTTCCAGTCTCTTGCTCCCCCGGAATTTCAACCGGATTTTGTTGGCTGTTGTCTTGTGTATTCATGTGCAGATGCTGACCTGTGCATGGTTGCCCTTTCTCTTGCTTCGCGGCCATGGCTGTTCTCGACGGCCCCGCCGCGTTCCGTCGAGCTGGCCGCGCGCCTTCGATGTCGTCTACGCAGCGCGCGCGTCACTGTGGGCATAGCAAAGCGCGCGGGCCGCGCCTTCCCGTCGAAAGCGCGCGGCCAGCGCGACGGAACGCGGCGGGGCCGTCGAAAACAGCCACCGCCGCGAAGCAAGAGAACGGGCAACCATGCGCAAACCAGCATCTGCACATGAAAGCACAACACAAACATAAACAATTCCAGAAACACCTTTGGGGAGGCAGAAAATTGAAATCCAGTCCCCAGAGCCATCGGCTTCGTAACGCAGGTCGATGGATGCCCAGGCCGTACGTTGGGCGCGCCTGGCATCATCAAAGCATGATGTGCGACGATGCAATGGTCGCGCATGTGATCCACGTCGACAAGAAATTGGGGTGCTCTGGAACAAATGACGACCGCCTGCCTTTGTAGATTTCCGATGTAATCTATGTCGGACATGCGCTCCGAACGACGTGAGCAAGGAGGGCGGATGTTTCTGCCTCAGGGCAGCAGGGCGCGGATAGCTCCGCAAAGGTACGGGGACAGCGACGGCAAAGAAGGGCGGAAGTCGACATCAAGGGAGCCAGAAAAGTAGGGCGGGCATTTCCGCCCTCCTTGTGAAATCGCCGAAAGCGCGGCGGATCAGGTGTCAGGGAAGCTCCGGAGGGATCCGGGGCGCCCGGGGGCACTCCGAGAGCGCCCCGGAGCGCTCTTGGAATGTTCACGGGTGCTCTGGAACGGCAGCGGTTCCCCCGTACGTATGCATTTTCCAGATCCGTCGTTCCCCAGCTCATCCGATCCCGGATTGATCTCCTCGGGCCGCGTCTCGCGGCGGCGGTGCGGGGAGGGGCCCCGACGAGCGGCGGCTCCCGGAGCGGGGCCGGCGGATGTATTACGGCAAGTACCAGAGCGGGTACTTCATGCAGGGGCCCCGCGCGAGGGGGGAAGAGAGCGGTGTGTCGGGGAGGGAGGGGGAGGAGAAGAAGGATCGACGTATCATCTGAGTTTCTCTGTGGCTTGGGAGGCTATGAGGCTTATGAGCTGTCGCAGGTGTCGGGAATTTCGGTTCGCGAGCATGGGGGGATGCAGAATATGGACAGGAGGAGGCAGGGGAGGAGGAGGAGGCGGAGGAGGAGGAGGAAGAGAAGGAGGAGGATCATGATCAGGGAGGAGGGGGAGGAGAAGGACGTTGTCTTCCGTTTCTTATCCTCCCTCATCCACATGTTCGTTGTTCGTTGTTTTGAGTATGTTGTGTGTTTGTGTGCCTGTGTGTGTCGTGTGTCTGTGTGTATGTGTCGTGTGTGTGTGTGTCTTGTGTGTGCTGTGTGTGTGTGTGTGTGTGTGTGTGTGCGCGTCAGTGTCTGTGCGTCTGTGTGTGACTGTGTCACCGCCTTGCGGACAGTCCCTGGCCTCGTGTGAAACTAGGAAGTTTTGGAACGTGCTGCAGGCCACAAGGGCCTGACCCACAGGACCAACACAGGTCCACCCAGGAGACACTTTACAGAGTAAAGTGCAGGTTCAGGACGGGCACCGACGGGTCCACCCAAGGAACACGCGCCCTACACATGGGGCGACCCAGAGCCACCAGGCACAGGCCTAACAGCAGGACGGCCTCGCCCGCCGCAACCACCAACCCAAGCGCAGCCCTGGGGCCCGAGGCCGAAGACAGGCCGCCCAGCACCAGCAGGCAGAGGGCCAACTGCGCGCAGGCCCCCAGGGGCCGTCGCGAGCAACGCCAGGGATGGCGGCCTGCCGCACGGTCGGCAAAACGCTCGGGAGACGGTCGCGTCGGCGGCGCCGCTCCCTCTGCGCAGGCGTGCACTCAGACGGTGGGGGGGGGGGGGCCGGGCGAAGGGCAGACCTGCTGGAGGCCACGAGGCCCACGGGTGACATGAAGCCTACACCGTCTGCACAGAACGGCCTGCCCACAGACAGCCCGACGCATCAGTCGAGGCGGCGGCAGCGCAGACAGCAGGAAGAGGTGAGGCTCGATGCACCCCCGCTCGCGATGCCGCGCCGGCTCGGCGGTGGCGCTCGTGGGGGGGGCGGCTCAGTGCGGCAGCGGTGCCAGCCGCCCTCGTGCCCCTGCTGCCACTGGCTGGACGCTCGTGTGGAACGCGATCTGCGTGAGGCATACGCCGAAATGGGGGTGGGGAAGCCATGTCAAAGTTTTCCACTGGTGCCATAGGTGGACCTCCTTGCGGGACACGATCCGCGTCGGGGGTGTGCAGAAATATGGGGACAGACGCCTTGTGAACCCTCCCTGTGGGGTCGTGGATGATGGAGGTCTTTGTGGGGCGCGATCCGTGTGAGAGTGGTCCCGAAATGTGCGTGGGGACGCTTGTGAGCCTTCTCTCTGGGGCTGTACTTGGAACTTCTTGTGCGGTACGATCCATGTCAGGGGTGTGTTGGCATAGGCGGGGCGGCGGCATGCGAACCTTGTCTCAGGGACTCTTTGCGGAGCTCGCTGTGGGGCACGAATCGTGTGAGGAATGAGCCAAAATACGCGGGGAGGCGCTATGCGAACCTTTCCACCAGGGCCGCACGTGGAACTAACTCCCTGTGGGGCACGATCCGTATGAAGGGTGAGCCGAGATGTGCGGAGGGACGCCGTTCGAATTTTATCCCTGGCGCCGTAGGTGGAGCCCCTTGGGGGGGGGACGCACGATCTGTATGAGGTGTGTGTGTGTGTGTGTCAAAATTGGGGGGAGGACGCTGTGTGAACCCTGTCCTTCTCTGGGGCCGCAGGGCACTCCCTCGTGCGGAATATGTAATTCACTTTCGCCGCTGCAAGCGCTAGACTCTAGACTTCGCCTCCTCCCTCACCTTGTCCCCTCGTTCTCCCTGAAACTGCCGCTGCGTACGCCTCAGAGAGGCAAGATCTGGCCATTTAGTTTTCGGGGGGGGGGGTATGGGGGTATTTCCACAATCAGTGCTTGCACTGAAGGGGTCCTAGCGGAAGTTGAAAGATTTGGCGAAAGTTTCCTGCCGATTTTGGTAGCAGGCTGGGTGTCCCGGGTTCCCAGTTATTGGTTCCAGGCCGATTTCGGTGGGTTTTGGGTTTCCGGGCTCCTGGGTTCCCGGTCGATCTCCTCAGCGAAATCCATCCTTTGATTGGGTTCTTCTCTGGTGTACTGATAGAGTCTTGTCTTCTACTTTGGCTCCCCAGAACCCCTCTAGCACTCCGCCGACCGAGCCTCCCACTCCCCCCCCCCTTGGGTTAAGTCGGGCACGTCCCTCTACGGGAGGAATATCCGGAAATAGTTAACAAATAGTATGGGGAGGATTTTTTAATTATTTTTTCGACAGTTTGCAAAAGCGCGTTCTGTGGTCGCTTGGGGGGGGGGGGGGCTTGGAACCGGACCCCCCCCCCTCCTCTTCCGTGACGGAGGGGGGGGGGGTCGAACCCCCCCCCTCCCCTATTTCTCCTCTCCCCCTCTCCTCGGCTGGCGGCGGCGGCGGCGGCGGGGACGACCATTTCGTTTTCTAGGCTTCTAGGCCAGCGCCGGCGCCTGCGGAGGCGGGCGGCGACGGCGGGGAGCGTCGACGAGGACGACGGTGGTGGTGGTGGCGTTGGTGGTGGTTTGTTGTGGTGGTGGTGGTGGTTGCGGTGGTGGATGGTGGTGGTGTGGTGGTGGCTTGTGGTGGTGGTAATCGTGGTGGGTGGGTAGTGGTGGTGGTGGTGGTTTGGTGGTGATGTGGTGGTGGTTTGTGGTGGTGGTGGTGGTGGGTTGTGGTGGTGGCGGTGGACTGTTGAGGTGGTGCTGGTGGTGGTGGTGGCGGTGGTGGTGGTGGTGTGGTGGTTTGCGGTGGTGGTGGTGGGTTGTGCTGCTGGTAGTGGTGGTGGTTGTGGCGGTGGTGGTGGTGGCGTGGTAGATTGTGGTGGTGGCGGTGGTGGTGGTGGGTTTTTGTGGTGGTGGTGGTGATGGTGAGTTGTGGTGGTGGTGGTGGTTGTGGTAGTGGTGGTGGCTGTGGTGGTGGTGGTGGTGGTGGTGGTGGTTGTGTGGTGGGTTGGTGGTGGTGGTGGTGGGTTGAAGCGGTGGTGGTGGTGGTAGTGGTGGTGGTGGTGGTAGTGATGGTCATCGTCGCTGCGTCCCCGCGTCGCCGGCGCCAGCGCCGGCGCTGCTGGCCGCCGCCAGTGCCGGCGCCGGCGGTAGGGGGGGGGGTTGAAACGCCCCCCTACCCCCCTCGGCGCCAGGGGGGGGGTTTGGGGCGGGGGTTTGAACACCCCGCCCCCTGGGCTGCCTCTGGTCATCGTCGCTGCGTCCCCGCCGTCGGCGCTGCTGGCGGCCGCCAGCGCCGTCTCCGAGGGGGGAGGTTTTCGGGCGGCGGGGGGGGGTGGGAGGGAGGAGAGTTCTTGGTTTTGATCGACGGCGCAGATGGGGGGGGCCATCCCCCGGTTCGCAACGCGCCGCCGAATGTTCCCAAGGCAATCGCCCAGGAAACGCGTTCCCTCGACCATTTGGGAGTATTTTTTTGACTCGTTGTTATTTTTTCGTCCAAGATCCCCTTGTAGGAGGACATGCCCGACATAACCCTTGGGGTCTGGGACCCCCCCCAAACAAAAAATCGCGGAGCATCCCCGTGAGGGGGGTATAACACGCAGCTTCTCCAGGGGAGCTTCGGGGAACTGCCACCGGTCTCAACCCCAAGGGGATCTTGCCGCTCCAGCCCTCAGACAGCTTCTCCGAGCTTGGGAGCCGACGTCAGGCGAGAGGGGTGGTGCTAAGGGGGGCGACAGAGAGGAAAAGGAAGGCGGAACCCGCCGGGGTTCCGATGGGGACGGCCGCGGTAACCTCAGGAGGTCTTTAGTTTTGGGTTCTTCCTCCATTTCTCCCGGCGGGAAACAAACTCGCACCTCCTTCTCCTCCTCCTCTTCCTGCCCCTTCTCCTGCTCCTCCTTCTCCTTTTCCTGCTCCTTTTCCTGCTGCTCCTCCTCCTCCTCCTCGTCGTCCTCGTCCTCCTCCTCCTCCTCCTCCTCCTCCTCCTCCTCCTCCTCCTCCTCCTCCCCTTCCTCCTCCCCCCCATCCTCGTCGTCGTCGTCGTCGTCGTCGTCGCGGCGGAGACTCAGTGCCCTCTAGTGTTGGGCGGGTTGGATAATGTTGGGGATTCAGGGAGTAATCCATTGGGCCACCCTACACACGATAGGATTGTTGAGCATCTTCTCATGGGGATGACAGTAGGAGCCAGTGATTGTGGTTGTGGTCGCGATTGTGGTGTTTATGGTGTTTATGTTAATGTGATTGTAATCGCGATTGTAGTCGTAAGCGTCTCTGATAATTATTCATTGCCTGGAGCTCCCCACATGTGCATATATTAGCACGGACCTGTCCGCCGTGAGTGTCTAGGCGCAAGAGTTTTCGAACATAAGCGGGCTTGAGTACTGACGGTCTGGGAGGGAATCTATATGTGAATGAGTTGGAGTGTGAATGAGTCTCAGTCGTATTAGTGCGTCTCTGCGCATGAGCCTGGCGCCTCCTGGGGCCTCTTGAAACCTCCTGGGGCTTCCTGGGGTCTCCTGGAGCCTCCTGGAGCCTCCTGTGGCCTCTTGGGGCTTCCTGTGGCCTCCTGAAAACTCCTGGGGCTCGCGTGGCCTCCTGCGGCCTTCAGGGGCCTCCTGGGTCCTCATGAGGCCTCCTGGGGAGGATTCGTGCCCCAGGAGAGGCTCAATCTGTAGGAACAGACGTGAAGCACTTCGGATTGAAGCAACAGGAGAGAGGCAATCTATAGAAGGCTCAATGTATAGGAACCTGTGTAAAGCATTTAGGAGTGGATACGCAGGAGAAGGACACTTTCTAGAAACATACGTAAAAACAAAGGATTCGCACTCCATGGAAGGCCCAATCTATAGAAACATATGTAAACGCCGGGGATTGGAGCAACTCCTGTGGACTTCTGAGTCCTCCTGCTCCTGGGGCCTCGTGGGGA